TGCTGATCAGAACCTCATTGTGCAGAGGGCTTGATGCTTAAGGGAGTGGCCCTGCAAGGGTGAAGAAGGCAGGTGAGTAGGGTCCTGCCTGAGGCCAGTTTGAATAAGCTATCTGTCTGTTTCCCCATTCCACCTGCCAAGGAATTTTCCTGACTTCTCACTATCCTGCCTCAATGAGAATGTTCTGCATTTGTCAAATCATTAAATTATACCCTTTAAATAGGTGCAGTTTATTTTACTTAATTTATATCTCAATCAGATTGTTTTAAAAACAGAAGAGCCTTGAGGCAGAAGTGTAGCCTTTGAATTTAGAGAATGTGGGGGAGGGGTTATAATAGAGGTTGTGTAATGGGGCGACCCGTGGAGATGACCACCAGGGACTCAGATCAAGATTTAGGAGCCTTTATTAAGCTGGCCAGCGACTACAGTTACAGCACCCTGCCGAAGCAAAGGCTGAACTGCAGTACCGACTACAGGAGTTACATTTTATTATTAAATTCTGTGCAGGCCCAGAGAAAAATATGTCTTTCAAATTCTGGGCCCCCAATATGGAGGAAACTCTCTTTATTTATACTTTTTCCAGTCCTTTGTCTCCCAAATTTGGAATGAGACTTCCAGGCCTTCTGAGAAAGAAGGCCTGCGTGCTGGAAAGGGGCCATGAGACCGTATCTCAAGGCCTGGCAACTGTCTGGGTGTCAGCACTGACAACTCTGTCTGGGGCATAGTTTACGGCCTCTCTGGATGGGAGTAGTCTTATTTTCCTTATTAGTTAAGACAGAAGCCATACTATCAGGGTTAAAATTTCAAACAGCAGTTTTTATATAAGATGGATACTTCAATTGTATAAGGTTTTAAGGGCCTTAGTAAGGACTTTTCTTTTTACTCTAAAGATTGGAATTCTCTGGGGGATTTTGAACAAAGATTGTCATGATCTGACTTATACTATTGTAGGGATTGGATGAGATAATATATATAGGGTACGCAGTTCAGTAAATATTTAACAGGGGTCCTCAAACTACGGCCCGCGGGCCACATGCAAATACAAATATTGTATTTGTTCCCGTTTTGGTTTTTTACTTCAAAATAAGATATGTGCAGTGTGCATAGGAATTTGTTCATAGTTTTTTTTTTTAAACTATAGTCCGGCCCTCCAACGGTCTGAGGGACAGTGAACTGGCCCCCTGTTTAAAAAGTTTGAGGACCCCTGAATAGATATTCCTTCGCTTTTCTAGGGCAGTGTTTCTGTGAAACAAAACAATACCACCATCTAGTGGAGAAAATTCTGCTTGTTTTATAAGCAACGCCTTTGAGGCTTATTTAACAAAGGAAGTTAGAATTTAACTTATTTCCCATAGAATTAAATAAATCTTGTAAATCAAAACTTCTTTATCCAGAGTGATTTATGTAAACATAAGGTAATATAGTTTTCAAGACGCTACTTTATTCTATTTTTCCTCCCACCTCAAATGTTGGTAAACCTTCATTTTCAGCCCAGTGTTCAGTTGTAAGTCACCCTCTTCCTGGGTGATCTCATTCATAGGCACAATTATTACTACCCTATACAAGCATTTAAAACCTTTATCTTTAGCCTTAGCCGGTTTGGCACAGTGGTTGGGAGGGTCAAGAGTTCGATGTGCATGCAGGAGGCAACCAATGAATGTGTTTCTCACATGGATGTTTCTTTCTCTCTGTCTCTACCCATCCCTTCTACTCTTTCTAAAATTAATGGAAAAAATATCCTCCAGTGAGAATTAACAAAAAATAAAAATAAAAAGGATTTTCTAGAAATGTGAAAATGTTAAAAATAAAATAAAAGCTTTATCTTCTAGTTCCTGGCCACACCTTTATTTAATTCCAAGTTCTGAGATAGGGTCTGTGGCAGAACAGCTGCAATCAATAAAAGCTACTGGAACTATCAAGAAGTAAGACTACCCCCAGAACACCAATTTATAACCTAAAACCAGAAGTTCAATCCAACGTGGTGACTGATTTCACCTCATGGTAACCCCTAGCCTCATTATACACCCACTTAATATATTAGCATGCTAAATGACACACCCCTCTCAGCCATGATCAGAAATGAAAAGCCCATATAAGGACACAAAATGGCCTGCAGAGCTCCTCTGCGAAATCTCTGCCTCTTTCCCAGGCAGATCCTGCATATTCCTCTCCTTTATTGAATACCCTACTCTTGATTAAATGAACCTCAACAAAGGAAGCAAATTCCGCTAAAGGGGGCTACTCTGTCGGTGGAGTGGCCTGTTCTCAGTCTCACTGCTTCACTAATAAACTCACTTTCACTTTAAACTCTATGCTGGCTCATATTTGAATTCTTTCCTGTGAGAAGCCAAGAACCCACAGTGGGTCACGGACCCTCAGGTCCTTGGAGCCCCGGAAAACCTGCATCATCTCTAGATCGAAGTCCAAGGCATGTCCTCACCTGTATATTCCCATGGCCTCTCCATCTCCACATATCAAAACCAGAACTCATTCCATCTCACCCCAATCTGTTCCTATCCTTCCTATACTATGTTGTACATGGCAGGAAATGCCCATACAGGAACCTAGAATTCATCATTGCCTCTTTCCCCTCTCCTAATCCTCATGCCGAATCAAATAGCCACTGTTGCCCATTCTATTTAAAAAATTATTTCTCATACCCAACCACCTTCATCATTCATTTGGGCTCTTACTGGTCTCCTTTTACTCTTGTTTCCCTTCAATATGTGCCACAAAATAGAATGAGCAACTCTTGCTTTCTCCATTTTCCCTCCCTTTCTCTCTCTACTCTATTCATGAATGATTTATCATCTGTGCATTTGAAGTTATTTGTCTGTACATTGGGTTTTGTAATACTGAGGAAAATATTTTTAATATATTTAATTACACATTTAATGCATGAATATGCTCAGTGTTAAAACTTATACATTAAAGATAAATCAAAAATCTCTTTTGATGTCCTCTTCCACTCCCCTTCTTAGAGGTAAACTTTATTACAATTCATTCATTCAATTATTCAGCAAACATATATATGAAGATCCATTATATGCTGGGTGCTCTGCTTAATGATGACCTAAATCATATCCTAGTAAACTTTATAGCTTTACAGTCTTAGAAACAATAAAAGCATATCAGCACAATTTACAATAGCTAAGATTTGGAAACAGCCCAAGTTCCATCAGCAGATGAGTGGATAAAAAAGCTGTGGTACATTTACACAATGGAATACTATGTGGCGTTAAAAAAAAAAGAAGGAACTCTTACCATTTGCAACAGCATGGATGGACCTGGAGAATATTGTGCTAAGTGAAATAAGCCAGTCAGAGAAAGATAAGTATCACATCTCACTCATATGTGGAAACTAATGAACAAAATAAATGGATGAACAAAATAGATACAGAGACATAGAACTATGGAACAGACTGAGAAATTTCAGAGGGAAGGTGGGGATGTGGGTGCTCTGGGGGTTTGGGGATGTGGAGGAGAGATTAATCTGGGAGATTAATCTGCATACTAGAGGCCTGGTGCATGACATTTGTGCACTGGAGGGGGGGGGTCCCTCAGCTCGCCTGCACCCTCTCGCAGTCCAGGACCCCTCGGGGGATGTCCGCCTCTCCGCTGTCAGGCGGACATTCCCCGAGGGGTCCTTAGGGCTGCCGTCCCTGCGCTTGCCAGCCATGAGCCCAGATCTGCTCCCTGGTGGTCAGTGTGAGCCATAGCAACCGGTCATTCCGCAGTTCGATCTATTTGCTTATTAGCCTTTTATTATATAGGACTAGGGGCCCGGTGCACAAAAATTTGTGCACTTGGGGGGGTCCCTTAGCCCGGCCTGTGCCCTGTTGCAGTCTGGGACCCCTTGGGGGATGTCTACCTGCTGGCTTAGGCCCGCTCCCTGGGGGATTGGGCCTAAGCTGGCAGTCAAACATCCCTCTGGCAGCCCAGCAGCCCTCGAGGAATGTCCACTTGACAGCGGGGAGCAGGCCTAAGCTGCAGTTGGACATCCTTAGCGCTGCTGAGGAGGCGGGAGAGGCTCCCATCACCACCGCTGTACTGGCAGCCATCAGCCTGGCTTGTGGCTGAGCAGAGCTCCCCTTGTGGGAGGGCACTGACCACCAGGGGGCAGCTCCTGCATTGAGCGTCTGCCCCCTGGTGGTCAGTGTGAATCATAGTGACTAGTCATTCCCAGTCGGCCTGCTGTTAGGGTCAATTTGCATATTACCCTTTTATTATATAGGATGATGAGCTCTTCTCTTAAAAGTTTGTATTCAGGTTACTGTAAGATCTTGCCTTAGAGAACACATAGTGGGGGGTTTACACATCTTACAGGGGTGAGTTTGCCTGTCTACTGCAGGAGAATGCAGGGCCTTCTGACCCCCAGAAATGTTGGCTTCCTCTTGACACTGGTCCCAGCTTGCCATCCAGCACAGACTAGGTACTCAACCAACGGATGGTGTCTCCTAGATATGATATGAAGGTCCCCAGATCCAAATAAATTCTACCAGGGCCTAGCTCCCGGTCCACAGTGTTTGCACCCAACCCAGCAGGATGGTTTTAGAGCCATAGCCTGGGCTGGAAGCAGACTTTGCCACCTCTTGGCTGTACAACCACAGGCAAGGAGCTTGCTCCCTCATTTGCAAAACGGGTTGACCAAGGGCCCACTTTACAGGACTGTGGTTCCTGAAATTATGCATGCAAAGTGCTATTTCAAGGCCCACCACTAGCAGAAGATGAGACTGTTTTGCAGGCAAGGAAACGGGTTAGGTTGTCGGGAAATAAGGGGGGGCATCGGAAGGGATGGGTAAAGGTTCCGCATGGCACGCCGCGGGGTCGCAGCTCTGCTGCCAAAGCTTCCACGGAGACGACCCCGGAAAAAAAAAAAGTGTTTCTTTGCAACATCCCTGGCTCCCCCAGCAGAGACCTGGCAGCAGCCGGGCTCGCGCACGCAGCGGCTTTTGGACCTCCCCGGGGACGCGCCCGCAGCGCGCTCCGCCCCGGAAACACGCCCCAGCCGCTTTGGCGCGCTTTAGAAACAGCTTGGTTCCGTGTAAATTTCCGAGTCGCGGCAGCTCGGGAGATTTAGTTCTAGTATCTAAGCCTGCGGCCCCCCAACCCCGCGCAGCCATGAGGAGGACCCGCGACGAGGTGGACGCTACGCTGCAGATCGCCAAGCTGAACCCCGCGGAGCTGCTGCCCGCCGTGCAGTGCCTGGGCTTCGGCCCGGGGGCCAGCGCGGCCGCCGCCGGCGACTTCTGCCTCTTGGAGCTGGAGCCCGCGCTGTGCCAGCAGCTGGAGGCGGGGGCCAGGTGAGCCGGGCGCCGCGCCTCCTTCTGATTTTCTCTGATGGGGATCTTGGCCAGGGAGGTGCATTTATTTGCAGGGGTGGGGGTGGGGGTGGGGGGCTCACAGCAGATTGGTGGCCGGATCCCCAGCTGGCTGTCTTTTCCCTAGGGTTCCACGCCACTGCTAGGCCGTGCAGTGAGCTGGATGGTGTGACCCAGAGGACTGCTCCAGCTGGTCTTGCAGGCCAGTGTCAGCGGAAACAGCTCAGGAAACATGTAGAACCTAAGTGAGGTTTTGACAATATTAACAGTGATGCCAGGGACTGCAGAGAACCTTTGGACATTCTACCTTGAAATCTAATGGTAATAGCTAATGTCTATAGAGTTCTTCCTCCCTTCTACTTATACATATTTTATTCAGACAATAGGTGGGACTGTAGGGGATACATTTAAAGCCATTTTACAGACTTGGTAATTTAGAAGTTCCCTCAAAAAAACCCAGTCTTGCTTGGGGTCACTCAGTGAGGATCTGAAGTCGTTTCTAAATGTAGGTCAGCTACCCATTTGCTGCAAGACCATGGATTAAAAAACAAACAGCCCGGCTGGTGTCGCTCAGTGGTTGAGCATCGACCATGAACCAGGAGGTCAGGTCAGGGCAGATGCCTGGGTTGCAGGCTCGATTCCCAGTAGGAGGCGTGCAGGAGGCAGCCAATCAATGATTCTCTCATCACTGATGTTTCTGTCTCTCTCTCCCTTTCCCTTCCTCTCTGAAATCAATAATTTTTTTTAAAGAAGTCTAGAGAATTATTCTTTTCCTTTAGTTTTTTTTCTTTTTTCTTTTTAATCCTCACCCAAGGATATTTTTCCATTGATTTTTAGAAAGAGGAAGAAGGAGGGAAAGACAGAGAGAAATATTGATGTGAAAGAGACACAAGGATGTTGCCTCCTTCACCAGCCCTGATCAGGGCCAGGGAGGAGCCTGCAACCAACGTAAATGCCCCTGACCAGAATCGAACCCGGGACCCTTTGGTCTGCGGCCGAACCACTGAGCCAATCAGCTAGGGCCTTTTTCTTTAGTTTTTTTAAAAAAATCCCTTTTTTCTTTCTTTATCTCTCAATTTTGTGCAGTCCCAACTCCTGCAAGTTAGGATTACAAGCTGTGGCTTGAATCTCTTCTGCATTATAGGTTCCTCCAATACCTGTATTTTATTATATTAGTTTGTTCTCTTGCAGGTTCCTTTAAATTGAATCCTTTAGCTGTCCTTAGTTCTCATGCTTCACCCATCAAGCAGTATTATAGTTAAACTAGAGGCCCGATGCATGAAATTCATGCAAGGGGCTCGGCCCTCGCAGCCCCAGCTTCGTCCAGAAGGTCGTCAGGAAGGATGTCCGGAAGGTTGTTCAGCTGTCTGGTCTAATTAGCATATTACGCTTTTATTATTATAGATTATTATAGATGGACAGTCTCCAGATGCTGGCCACTAAGTTTCTTTAAGGGACCTGATGGAGAACTTCACTCATGGGTTTTCATCCCCGCTGAGTTGGCAGGGATTTGAGAAAGGACTTCAGATGTGAGGACCTTCTCTTTGCCCAGTTATAATTAACCTACATGGCAAAACCCAGAAAAACAGAAACCTGGAAATGTGGATTTTAAAATTTGTGTGTGCATGTGAGTGGGGGGGGATAGTTCTAAACAAAATATTACAAAGCAGGGCTAGTGCAATCCATATATATAAAAGCCCAGCGACTGGAACGGGGAATGACCAGAATGACCAGAAGGACTGGTGGCTATGACACGCACTGCGGCAGCCAACCAGCCTGATCCAGGCCCCAATCCCCCTCCCCCTCCACGGCCGACCTGGCCCCCAACACCCCATCAGGGGGGGGCAGGCTGGCCAGACCCCACCCATGCACGAATTCGTGCACTGGGCCTCTAGTGTAGAAATAAACAGAATAGGTACTTGGGAGTATTAAATGTTATTAGCACCAGGAGGCTATAGAAACCTTTTATTCTTTTCACTTAAACAAAGGCTTAGTTTAAAAATATTTACACAGGCTTCTATTTCAGGTTTTTAAATTCTTTAAAAGAAGTGGATTGTACGCAGGAGGGTTAAATGCTTTACAGACGAGGAACCCTGCTAGAACCAATTCTCTTGTTGCCATTTCAGCATCTTTGTGTTTTGTCTTTCTTTTTCCTCTTCACTTTTATCCTTTCCCTCTCCCTTCGTGTTGCTTTTTTCCACCTGTGACCCTTTGTCAGAGACTTTATTTAGACCAGTTTGTAAACATATCTTCATATTTTGTATTCAGCATCGTAGCCTTCTTTTCACAAGGTCCCAATTTCTTTGTGACATAGCTGATGGTTAGGCCAAGATGTTCCCCTTTGATTGTTAGAAACAAAACAAGAAGGACCACTCTTGGATGGGATCTGGGACCAGCAGCGTGGACATCATCTGGGAGCTTGTTACAAATGCAGAGTTCTAGGTCCCATCCCCAGACCTATTGAATCCCCATCTGCTTTTTAGCAGGATTCCCAAAGATACTTCTACATAAGTTTGAGGAGTACTGCTTTCGCATGTTTTAGAAAATTGTAACATATTGACTGAAGCTTCTGGATGCTTTGTCTTTTGCTCTTCCCTTAGTTTGAACAATGATGCCATGGAGACATTTGGCCTCCTTTTTTTTATTTTATTTATTTATTTTTTTTGGCCTCCTTTTTAAAAATATATTTTTATTGATTTCAGAGAGGAAGGGAGAGGGAGAGAGATAGAACATCAATGATGAGAAAGAATCATTGATCGGCTGCCTCCTGCACGCCTCCTACTCAGGATTGAGCCCACAACCTAGACATGTACCCTTGACTGGAATTGAACCCGGGACCCTTGAGTCCACAGGCTGCTGCTCTAGCCACTGAATCAAACCAGCTAGGGCAACATTTGGCCTCTTTGACTTTTTCTTGTCCATGTTATTTTTCCCTAGTGAGGCCACCTGCTTCCCTGCTGGCTCTCAATTGGCCCAGTTCTTGCTTTGTGGAGCCCATCGTTGTGTGAGGGCTATGAGAGCATCATGACAAATTTTGAATTCTATCAGCCTAGAGGATTCGGGGAACAGTTTATAATGAAGATGTCCATTGGCATATCAATAAATCATGTATTTTCTTTTTCCATTTTCCTGTAGTATGGTGATTCGTGGTGATAAAGATGAACAGGCTGTGCTGTGCAGTAAAGACAAAACCTATGACTTGAAGATAGCAGATACTTCCAATATGTTGCTTTTAATTCCTGGTTGTAAAACTCCAGACCAGCTGAAGATGGAAGAAACCCACTGTAACATTATTCACACCGAGGTACTGTAGTTTGTCTCCTGATTATTTAAGTATGAGAATGACAACACATGTCTAATCTTGCTTTTAATTAAAAACTTTAGATATGTAATGTATAATCACAGGAACTCTGAAAAGTTCTCTAATGATATTTGAAAGCTCTCAGCATTGTTTTTGTTGTCTTGTGAAGTGGTCTTTGTTTGCCAGTTTGTGGACTATGGATGACATCAGTCTTTCTGTTTTAGTCCTTACGCTCCTCTTTTGAAGGCTTTAAATTCAGCAGCAAACATCAGGCTCTGGGCCTTGTCTTGTCAATCATACTTTGAACTAATTCGAGAGCAGAAGCAGCCCCTGACCTTCCATTTTAGAATTGGAAGGCACCCAGAGATGATCCACTTCAGCCTTTTCTCCTTTTATGTGAAACACTTATTGGGCCCCTACTAAGTGTTAGACGCCAGGCACATTCTGGCGATACAGAGAGGAATAACAGTTCTTTATGCATCATTTAACCTCTATCAACTGGATTTCCTTGAGTGGTAGGTCTCTCACTGGTTCACCAGTCCAATAAGGAGCTAGCTGCAATTCTAAATAGTACAGCGTTCTTGAATTGAAGTTTTTCTCCCTTACCGTCTGCTTAATTTTGATATCATGAGTAACACAGAACAAAGGTTCTCTCTTCCCTTTAACATTTTTTCATTATTTGAAGACTGTGCTAATGTCTATTCTTTATTTTCTGTTGTTCAGTCTAAAAATATTCATTTTCAGTTGTTTCTATTTTGTTTGTACGATTGCCACCTTTCTGGTTATTCTTCTCTGGGCATACTCTGGTTTCCAGAGTACACGTGAGATATGGAGCTCAATTATTGGTTCTCACTATGTTGGCAGTAGCTTCTGAAATGGGGTTTGAAAAGATTCCTGAAGATGCCTATCCACCTGTTTGAGGTGCTGGATCGGTGCCTTCCCAACAGAAAGCAGAACAACCATTTCCCTTTGCTTCTTGTTGAGGGCAGATGGGTGGGTTGAAATTGTTTGAGATTTTTCTTTTAGAATGAACCCTAAAAAGTTATAATATATTTATAATTTTTAGATCTTTGGTTTTTCTAATAATTATTGGGAACTAAGAAGATGTAGACCTAAATTAAAGAAGCTAAAGAGACTTTTAATGGCAAATACCTATGAAGGACCTGACAGTCAAAAAGAAAAGGATTCCAATTGCTCAAAAGTAAGACTATTATTTTCACTTTTTATTTGGAATTTAAAAAATAGAACTATAATTACAGGCACTTAACTGGTGACATTTTTACATTTTAAACTTTATATTATGAAAATTTCAGACCTATCCAGAAGCAGAAAGAGTACCGTGTATTCATCACTCAGTTGAACATTTAACAATATTTTGTCAGTCTTGCTTTTTTCTATCCCCTGCTTCCTCCTACTTTGTTTTCCTTTTTCTGGAGTATTTTAAAGCAAATTCTACATATGGTGACATTTACCTGGCTGAAAGCTCATGTTCCTAACTATGCAAAAATAGTTTTTTACAAGTTAGATTAATTTTTATTTAATTGAAAGTTATAATTAGAGGCTCTTTAGAAAAGACATTATGATAAGTATTGGAATACATTATGAAAAGTATTCTTACTCTAATGTCAAAATTGACTAATTCTTGGAAATATGGAAAAATATAAACCAAGTAAAAAAATTTTTAAGAGTTTTTAATGTAATTCAAAATTATAGAACTCTACTGGTATTCTGAAGACCATATTTGTATTAGAAGTTCTCTTTTTCTCCATTGACTGATTGATTTTTTTGGGGGGGGGGCTTTACACCTTTATTTAGATATAACTCATATACCAAACAATTCACTCATTTTTAAAATGTATATATAATTCAATGTGTTTTAGTATATTTACAGTGGTGTGCAATCATCACCCTGATGAAATTGAGAACATTTTCATCGGCCTCAGAAGAAACCCTGTACCCTTCAGCTATTACCTTCTAATCCTACTTTTCCCAATTTCCCTCTTCCACCTCAGCCCTAGGCAACCACTAATCTACTTTCTGTTTCTATTGATTTGCCTCTTCTGGACATTTCACATGAATGGAATTATATCATTTGTGGCCTTCTCTGATTGGCTTCTTGTTTGACTTAGCATGATGTTTTCAAGTTTCATTCATATTATAGCATGTATCAGTAGTTAATTCCTTTTTATTGCTGAATATTACCCTACTTTATGGCTATATCCACATTTTATCCATCCATTCATCAGTTGATGGGTATTTTTAATTGAGATTAACAACACTGCTGTGCTGTGTGCACTCATATACAAGTTTCTGTTGCACTTATGTTTTCTAAACATTTTTTAAAAAAAAATAATCCATCAGGGGCCATGCTTAGAGGAAGTGGGGGGGGTGGGGGTGGGGCAAACAGAGAGACATGGATCGGTTGCCTTCCCTAGGCTCCCTGACTGGGGATGGAACCCGAAACCTAGGTATGTGCCTTGAATGGAAATCAAACTGGCAACCTTTAGATGCACAGGAAAATGCTCAACCAACTGAGCCACTGTTTTCATTTCTCTTGGGTATATATCTAAGAGTAGAATTAACGGGTCATGTGCTTATTCTGCATAATCTTTCGAAGACCTGCCAGACAGTGGCTGCACCATTTTACATTCCCATCATATGAGGGTTCCAATTCCTTCAGATCTTTGACAAAACTTGTTTTTTTTCTGTCTTTTTAATATCCATGCTAGTGGGTTTGAAATGGTATCATTGTGGTTTTGATGTGCATTCCCCTAATGACTAATGATTTTGAGCATATTTTTCCTGTGCTTATTGACTATATATTTGTGGAGAATGTCTGTTTAGGAACTCCTTTGTCCAATTTTTAATCGGGTTACTTGTCTTTTTGTTACTAAATTGTAGGAGAGTTCTTTCTACAGTCTAAATACAAGTTCCTACCAGATAGATGATATGCAAATATTTTCCCCTATTCTGTGGGTTGTCTTTTCACTTTCTTGATTTTTTTAAGAATTGTAAATATACATAACATTTACCATTTTAATCATATATGGATAGTTCTGTGGCATTAAGTATATTCACCTTATTTTGTGACCATCACCACCATCCATCTACAGAAATTTTTTATCTTCCCCAAGCTGAAATTCTATACCTATTAAACACTAAATCCCTACACTCCCCTGCCTCCCAGCCTCTAGTGACCAACATTTTACTTACTGTTTCTATGAATTTGATTACTCTAACTATCCCATGTAAGTGGAATCATGCAATAGTTGTCCTTTTGTGTTGATGATGTTTTGAAGAACAGAGTATAAAAGTTTTTCATTTTGATGAAGTCCAATTTATCTATTTTTCCTTTTGTTGCTTGTGTTTTGGTGTCATATCTAAGAAACCATTATTAAATCCAACATCACTTATGCTTTCTTCTAAGATATCTACTGATTTTGTGTAGTAATCATTACACATTAACAAAATAAATTGAGCTAGTGTTTAAATATTGCCTTAATCTACTTTATATATTTATTCCCCAAATTCAAGAATCTTAAAAAATATTATTCAAAGGTCTTAAAATGTTGTTTGTTTGTTTTCTCTTGTTTCAGTATACAACTGAAGATTTGCTTGATCAAATTCAGGCAAGTGAGGAAGAAATAATGGCCCAATTACAAGTTCTAAATGCCTGTGAGATTGGAGGTAGCATTACTTGTCATTGTTATTAATAATGATGGAATTGAGCATCATATAAGAGAAAAAGAGAGACAAGTTTTTGGACATCTTCGCCCTATTATATTTTGTTTATTCTTTTGGGGGCTCACAGATGATGATATTTGTATTTTGGGGAATGGGTAGAGAATACATGTGATCTTCTTTACATGAAGAGGTCAGTCCATGACCAGTACTTTACCTTTTTCCTTGGATTAAGTGGTAGTAGAAGAACCATGTTAGCTTGAGAAAGGTCTTAGGTATAAGGTAGTCTAATCCCTTCATTGTTTTTAGTAGGTGAAGAAACTAAGGCCTATTTTTAAAGGAAACTGACTTGTCCAGGGCTACCTATTGAATTAGTGATAGGCATAGAACCCAGATGAACTTGCACTTGAATTTCTGGTTCGGAATTAATTTAATAAACTCATTGTATTTACAAATTGCTTGGAAGATAAGACTGTGTTTCTTCTTGTGGTAACATGTAACATGCTTTTGAATATAAATGGTTTATATAGTAAACCTATGTAAAAGATAGAATAGTGTGTGTTGGTCTCAGGGGTTGAGGAAGAAGCCCAGTAGTATCTTCTTTAAATGTTTTGACTGGTTTCTGGTCTGCAGTTGGAGTTTTTTCCCCCAGCATCTGGGCCTGCAGTAAGAGTAGGCGTTTATGTGCATTTATCAGCCCTTATAAGCTAGCCCAGAGAAGCAGCTTAACTCAGCACCCATGTGTGAAGAAGGAGGAAATCGGCAGGGGTTGATGGATTTACTATTCAATTTGCTCACAATCTTTCAAGCAAGATTAACTTTTGTGAAACCTTAACCTGAATGTGTGGCAAATTCTGCTGAGTAAAGCAACTGCGCATGACTTTAGAACTAGAAACACTTAGCTCACTTGGTCCTAAGCATAGGAAATGCTTTCTTTCTCAGTGTTACATCACAATTCCATGTTTAATGTTGCCTTTATGTTTCAGAATAAGAATAGCAACATTCTCCTTTGCAAGTGGTGGATGTGTACTTGGTTTGTTTCTCCATGGGTGATGGTAGTGCCTTCGATTATAAGATGGCTTTTCATTTTTCACGGGACTAGGGGAAGGTATCTTGATGCCCAGCCTTTATTTTGCCACTGGTCCACATCGTACCTCTGAGTCTGTTGTCTCTTGAATGAGCTAGACTTCCTTTTGAGCATGAGAACCCCTTTGCAGGCTAGCTGAGGTGAGAGTGATGACCATGGCAGTGCCCCCAGCGGAGGTTACGGTGTGGGATAGCGAACCCATGGCCTTCACCTCATTAGTATGGCATTCTAATGAAATGACTGTACCAGCCACGTCCATTTAGAACAACAAGATTATTGTGAGATATTGATTTTAATATTAAAGCACTTGGAAAAAAATCAGTGTTAGCCATATTTGAACTACTCTTTAAAAACCACAATTTGTAATGGGAGAAAAGCATAAAACGAAGTATTGTTTATTAGGAAAGTGAAGACTTTTTTTTTTGAAAGTAAAGACTTTTAGTGTCTCTTTTTTTTTGTGGTGGGCAAGAGCATGCTGCTACTTTATCAGTGTATTAGCCAATTAATTTGCTTAATATGTTCTTTGAGAAATATAACTTTGAATTTGTAGGTTATTGGAGGATTCTTGAATTTGATTATGAGATGAAACTTCTGAATCATGTAACTCAGCTTGTGGATTCTGAATCATGGTCTTTTACTAAAGTTCCTTTGAATATATGCCTTCAGGAACTTGGACCATTAGAACCAGAGTAAGTATTTTAATCCCTGCCACACCAGATTTCCTTAAAGCGAAGGAAATTATTTTCCAGGGTGGAACTAAACCCAGGGCATAGACTACTTATATTTTGATAGTTCACAGAAATTTAAAAATTATACAACCAAGAAGGGCTTGGAATTTTGATTACTGGGTGAATAAATGTGCATTATGTTATTTTTGCATTAAAACTACAAATAAATAATTATGCGTAACTATTTTATAATAGAAGTGTGCTCATATAATTCATGTAAAAATAGTTAGCATGGGATCTGGTACATAGTAGCTTCCTAGTATATATTAGTTCCTAATGTAAAGTTTTACTTGGCAGCTAAAATCACTATTTCAAATCACAAATGTATATCTTAGTTTCTAGTTAACAGTGGTATATAAGATATAATGTATAAAAATGTGATAACTTTTCAAATGAGTGTTTTAAATTTTTCAGAGAAATGATTGAACACTGTCTTAAGTGTTATGGAAGAAGATATACAGAGGAAGGTAAGATTTGGAAAAGTATTTTAATGGGTATAAAATCTTGTATGTTAAAATTGGTATGCTTTTCTGAGGTGTGTTTCTGTCCAAAATAAGGACTCCATGGGTCATGGGAGGTGAGTTGTGTAGAATTCCTTCTGGGGATTTCCTGGAGGAAAAAGAAACAATAGGAGTGTATCACATGGTGAAGATAATATGAAAGCATTGGATGCCTTTTCTTTAGGTGAAGTTTAGTTCTTTACTTTCCCCAGGTGAAATTTATTTTGACTTGAGCGCTGATAAAATCTGTAGAGCAACAGCACAAATGCTACTTCAGAATGCAGTGAAGTTCAACCTCGCCGAGTTTCAGGAAGTGTGGCAGCAGAGTGTCCCTGAAGGAATGATAACCAGGCTTGAGCAGCTTAAGGTGAGGTAGCGATGATGATGGCTACCATGACAACAGATCATCATTAGTTACTAGGTGAAATGAAATTTATGTTGGAACTGAATCTGGAACCAATTTACTTTCCTGGCTACCCGTTAAGTGTATACTATACTCTCAATCTATCACAAAGTCCTCTAAAAAAAACCCCAAACCCAACACTTTATCGAACTATAATTTACATATCACAAAATTTGTCTCTTTAAAAGGGGTTTTTAGTAAATTTAGTGAGTTACACAGCCATCACCACAATCTAGTTTTAGAACATTATCACCTTGATGAAATCCCTCAGGCCCATATATAGTTAATCCTGATTCCCACTCCATTGGTTTTTCTCAATTTCCACCAGCACCATCTTAACTCAAACTATCATATTCATTTGGCTATAAATAATAGTAATATTCCTAACCAGGCCTTCCATACTTTTGATTTTGCCCTGCTCCAATCCATTCTCCATGGTGCTACTGGAATGATCTTTAAAAAATGCCAGTCAGATTAGATGAATGTCTTGCTTAAATCACTTTAATGGTTGCCCAATGCACTTGAGATATAAAATCCAGAATTCATATTTTGGCCTACAAGGCCCTCCATAATCTCCCCTTCATAATTTCTGTCCTACTCAATGCATACCTAGTGTTCTTTCAAATTTTCAAGATCATCAAGCTGGCTTCTAGCTTAGGGCCTTCACTCAAGGCTTTTTGTTCCAGAATGATCTCCCTAATTTCATCTGGCCACCTCCTACTCATCTTTGAGTAACTTCATCAAAGAGGCCTTCCTTCACTCTAAAAAAATGCCTCTCTTTTACTTTTCCATAACACCCTGTATTTTTCCTTCATGGCACTTATCACTTTGCTTTAAAAGTGTTAATTATGTGGTTGCCTACCTCCACTTGGACAGAATTTTGTTCACTGTTGCTTGCCAATATTTAGCATCCTGCTTGGCATGTAGTGTATACTCAATAAGTATTTGTAAAATAAGAGAAAGGATTTGCTCAATATTCGCAGAGTTCCTTTTAAGTCTAGGCACTGTGCTAGATGCTGAGGTGCCATCAACGTCCTAAACTATCTAGAAAGTATTTGGGCCCATTCAGTGTATTAGCAAGGAGAGTAATCTGATGAATTTTGCCTTTTGGAAAGAACACTATGACAGTAATGAGGATGGATGCATAGATGGATGCATGGATGGATGGATGGATGGATGAAGGTTGGCTAGATGTTGAAAAGGAGAACTGTCCAGGCTCTCAACACTTAAATATCCCTAACTAAGACAGTACTGGCTAAGAAATAAGTGATACAGAATGGATAGAGAAATGTTGAGGCCTTAAAACCTATAGGATAGTGACCACTTAGGTGTGGGGTTCGAATATTGGAATCTAAGGTGATGCCTCGGTTTCTTGGCTTCCTAGGACAGTGAGACAAGAGCAGGTTTAGGTGAGAAATACTGTGAGTTCATATATAAGTTTGGATATAAAGATCAGGTGCTCAGTCGAAGAGACATTTGAGTTGCAGATACAAATCATACAGGTATTAGCAAGTAATCGGTCGTCGAAATCATGGTTTAGTTGAGGTTATACAGGACTGACAGTGAGATGAGTAGAGGAGCAGGATAGAGGCCCAAGGAACTGTGACATCAAGTTAGGAGGGAAATAATGAGATGGTGATGTCAGAGATAAAGATTCAAAGAGGAAGGAATAATCAACATTAACAAATAAAACCCCTAATGAGATGAATCCAAGGGCCCAGGTTACTGGTGACCTTGAACTAGAGCTGTCTTTATAAATTGGTGTGGTAGAAGCCAGATTGCAGAGGAAAAAGGAGAAGTCAAAGAAGTCAAAGTTTAAAGAAGCATTTCTATGAAAAAAAAAATTATTAGGTTTCAGTAGCTTGTGTATCATGTAGCTGACATTTTAAATGCCCTGGACTAAGCTAAACCTAAACATAAAAGAATAAGCCGTATTTAAACATTAGACCATTACTTTACTCTTTTTCTCATTTCTTAATAGGGTTTGGCCTTGGTGGATAGACAGTCAAGACCAGAAATCATATTTTTGCTAAAAGTAGATGATTTACCTGAAGATAATCAGGAGCGTTTTAATAGTCTGTTCTCTCTAAGGGAGAAATGGACAGAAGAAGATATTGCTCCATATATTCAGTAAGTACTTTATTAAATTAAATATGAATTTTGAGGGCTGTTCTTTTAATAAAGAGTGGCATAGTGTTTTGGATTTTTATTAGAACACTTTTATTTTTGAGTATTTCCCAAGGACACCGCTTCTTTTGAAACTTTCTCAAGTGGAGGCTGTCTTCTATATTATCCTCCATAAGCACTGATCCTGAAGGTAGGGTATGTGTTATCTTTCTTCCTTACTAATTCTTCTTTTATATACATATTGATTTCAGAGAAGAAGGGAGAGGGAGAGAGAGATAGAAACATCAATGATGAAAGAAAATTATTGATTGGCTGCCTCCTGCATGCCCTCTACTGTGGAGTCCACAACCTGGGCATGTGCCCTGACCAGGAATTGAACCCTGACCTCCTGGTTCATAGGTTGATGTTCAACCACTGAGCCACACCAGCCGGGCGCTTACTACTTCTTCTAAAATCACTTTTCTGCCCTCCTCCCTGAAAAACTGCGGCTCTTAGAGGGACAGTCAGACTATGTACTCCTCTCTGATTGACACCTGTTACCTTTCCTGCTGCCTTGCTTTAACATCTTGTAGAAGCCAGATTGCAGAAGAACAAGTTAGCCCAGAAGCCACTAACACTTCTCCCTCTTCGCTGTGTCTCACCTCTCAGGTCCTCTCTCTTTTTACCCAGATTGGATTCCCTGGTCAATTTCTCCAACTATTACTGTATACCCTCCACTCCTTTGGTCCCCTCTCTCTGTCTTCTCATATCTCCCAGGCAAAAATATACAAAGATTAAACCCAATTTTCTGCTTGCTCTGTGCCTGCAGCTAAAATTTCCTGGAGAAAAATACACAATGGGGCCTGGCAAGTGGTACTTACATCAAGCTGCCTAATTAACATTTCCACTTGAATATCTAATAGGAATTTCAAACCTAACATGCTCATAAGAGAACTATTGATACCCCCTTGTACTAATCCCATCTTCCTCGTCTCATTTAATAGCACTACCATTAGTCCCGGTTACTCAAGCAAAAAGTCTAGGAATCAACTTTGTCTTTTTCTTCTTTCACCCCTTGGTTCATACTATGAGCAAATCCTGATGGATCATCTTGTACGTGATTCTGAATTGGTCTCCCTACTTCTGTTTTGCCCCCTTACCTTCTCCTTGTTTTTCACTTTTTGTGAATATACTGTATAGTATAATGAACGCTCCATGAACTCACCACCTAGTTTCCATAATCATCACTCATTGCCTCCATTATTTAAAACTTAGATGGATTATGCTTTTCCACTAATTAAAACTCTCTTAGTGGCTTCCCATAATGCTTAGAATTAAATCACAACTTCTTTCCATGGTTTTCAAGGCCCTACATGATCTAACTATTGCTCTCTTCCTATTCTTCCCTTTCCTCATTATGTTTCAGTCACAATATTCTCTTTTTTGGGGTACAGAAGAGGAAGCTAAAGTTCAGGGAGGGCAGGTAACCTTGACAAGTTCACACAGGTAGCCTAATATCCAGATTCTCTGAGTCTAGACCCCACTGTATCACATTGCGTGCTTGTATTTCTACGTTGGAGGTTGTGTGATAAAACGGAAAACAAAAACTTTGAAGTCATAGAGAGCTGGCTGCAAAATGTAGATTGTCCTTTACTTCCTGAACCTCAGTTTCCCCATATCTAGTATGGGGTTAAATAATACATTACTCATACTCATCTTGTGAAGTTTGAAGATAATACATTCAATGCACCTAGTCAATTAAGGCTTAGTAACTGGTCCCTACCCTGTCTCTCCTACACACACATACCCTATGAGATTTAGGAGAGAAAGATATAAATAAATAGTACTGTGAATATTATGTTATGTCCCCTAAAATATTTATGCTATTTATTTATTTGTTTTTTGTTCCTACAGAGATTTGTGTGGAGAGAAGCAAACTATAGGTGCATTACTCACTAAATATTCTCGATCTTCGATGCAAAATGGTGTTAAAGTTTATAACTCAAGAAGACCCATTTCTTAAAAGAACAACTGTCTTTTCTTTGCAACTAAAGTTCCTTTATAAAGTTGCTGGTTATTATAAGAAAAATATGCTTTTATGCATTTGTATTTCAGACTTTTAAAAACCTTGTACTACGAGGCATTTTTCTTTTCATCTTAAGCATTTTGAAACTACTGCTCTTCTTTTTTCTTAAATGTAATAGGATATTCCTGTCTTTCAAGTTATGTTTGTATTAGGTACACAGTATAAACAAGGACAGAAGAAAGTGTTATTTCTTATGTTTAGTATATCTCTATAGTTCATTTGGTTTTATTTATTGAAAATATTTGCTTTTTAAATATTTAATATTGTATTTCTTTCATTAGGATTTGACATTGTAATCATTAATAAATTTAAATTTTTTTAGAGAACTAAATAGCCAAGAGAATTATTTATGTACTTAAATGCCACTTCTCAAGCAAGTTGGTTCCCATCTAGTTTCAACCTCCCACCAAAATAGGAAGTCACTACATGCTATCAGTTATCTACATTACTCATTTTCATTGATGAAATTGACTTGATAATTGCTCCTCCATTTGTCTGGCTGAAATGGGATGAAATGGATTTGATCCTCAATTTGATGTGAAGGATAATAATACAGCAGTTTATAATCCTGTGGTAGGCAGGTAGACAGATATGAGCAGAGCAAAGATGATAGGCCAAGGACAGAAGATCACCCAGATTCCTAGCAATGGACAGTTGTAGGGTAGGAACTTGTCTCCAAGGTGATTTTTCCTCCCCTAGCATATCACTGGTCATGTAGTTTAGACCCCCTGACCTTTCCTCCCTAGAGATAACATCTAGGCCTCAGTTGTATTTCAACTCCAGGCCCAGAAAAGCAGCAAAACTAGACAATAGAGGGTACCTCAGGACCAGTTGCATTGAATAATGACCCCCTGCCCTGGCTTAGACCAATCAGTGGAGACCCCTACCCAGAAAGGACACACCTGGGAAACTGCTGAATATTCTATTGAGATCTTCCTTGGGGCCTCCACCCTTAAAGTCCTCAGGACAGAGGACCCAGCTCCCTCTCCCCTCCTGGAGAATGGGCGTCTTCCCTTTCCCCCTCCCCTCCGGTGCATCACCTTTACCTTCCGCACTTCTAAGCTCCAAGGGCCCATCCTTTACTTCTATAACTTGTTTCCTAAGTCCATTTCTTTTACAAATTACTTCTACCTCTGTGATTTTCTAAATAAATGTTCTCTTATAGTTTGAGTCTTGACTCTGAATTCTTTCCTAGCCAGAACTCAAGTCTGGAGGTTGCTGAACCCAGGTCTGGTCTGACCCCATTGGTGGGGTGGGCAAACTTTTTGACTCGAGGGCCACAATGGGTTCTTAAACTGGACCAGAGGGCCGGAACAAAAGCATGGATGAAGTGTTCGTGTGAACTAATATAAATTCAAAGTAAACATCATTACATAAAAGGGTACGGTCTTTTTTTTTTTAGTTTTATTCATTTCAAACGGGCCGGATCCTGCCCGCAGGCCGTAGTTTGCCCACGGCTGATAGTGTCTTCTCACCTCTGCCAGCAATCCTATAACGGAGAAACTGACACAGGCAATACTCACTAGACAACTACAATATCTAGTTGGTTTTGGAATGCTTGATAAATTTTTTTTATAGCTTTACTTTCCTAATTTGCTTTCGTTTAGACCCGTGGTTGGTAAACTGCGGCTCGCGAGCCACATGCGGCTCTTTGGCCCCTTGAGTGTGGCTCTTCCTAAGCCTTAGGAGTACCCTAATTAAGTTAGTAACAATGTACCTACCTATATAGTTTAAGTTTAAAAAATTTGGCTCTCAAAAGAAATTTCAATTGTTGTACTGTTGATATTTGGCTCTGTTGACTAATGAGTTTGCCGACCACTGGTTTAGACCAAACTTCAAATTCATCCTAACTAATGAACTTATCACGGGGACAGTTGGAGGGGTTAGGCCAAAGTTAAGTCTGGTCCAAGGTTAAAAATAATATTAATGGGTATTTCACAACCAAGATTTAACTGTTGTTGAAATTTACAAAGTTTTTATTCTCAGGCACATGAAATGTAGATGCGATGCTTCAAAAGCATCTTTCCTGTCCTTCAACAAATTTTTCTGCATTTGTGTGGATCTTTTGTTCTATTTTTTAAAATACTGAGTCAGCAGTGCTCTGGAATTTGAGTCAGAGCATCACGGGTCGAATTACATATTTTATAACAATTTAAATCTCCAGGGGCCCAGTGAGTTGATGGTGTCTGTTCACACAGCAAACCAGAGGCACAGCCCTCCTGGTGTCAGTGACTCCCCAGTTCCTAGTCCCCATGCCCTGGCTCATCTCAAACCTGCCCCGCCCCACTTCTCAATGCGCATGCGCCAGACCTTCGTTCCGCTAACACTTAAATGCCCCTTCTTTTCCTTCCTGCTCTTCGCAACTCACACTACAACTATTTGCGTTCGCTTTCCTAAACTTGAGCAGCTCTCATTCACTGCATAGACACTGAATAGGGAATCCGCCAGTATCGCGCAAGCCCCGCCCACTCACCAACACTTCCGGCGCCGTCGCACTTCCGCTGACGTCGGAGGTCACAGGTGACAGGCAGGATGTCGAGTGGCGGTGGTGTAGAGCGGTGGCTGAGAGGAGCATCTCCATGACCCGAGCTTGGCGAGGGCGGCTGAAGGGATCCTACGTTGGGGAGCGAGTTGGAGGCGGAGGCGGAGGCGGCGGGGCCGGCCGTGAGCGCCGAGGAGCCCGGCCGGGGGCGTGACTGCGGGGAGCCGGAGCGGCGGGGCCGGCGCCGGGTGATGCCCGCCGCCCTCGGGGAAGCCGGGCAGCCCAGCTCCGCGGGATCGCTTCATGCCGCCCACCGGCTTGGAGCCCGCCAGAATGAACAGGAAGAAAGGAGACAAGGGCTTTGAAAGTCCAAGGCCGTATAAATTATAAGTATTTTTTCCATCGCCCTTTCCTCTTCGGGGTTTTGCTCTCATCCGTTCTGTTGTGTGTTTGCGTGAAACTGACCTGGGCTTGGGAAACCTAGTGGGAAAGGAGAACCCACTCTCTGTGACGGAAATGCCATTTGTAGGGCGAAACGCCTTGCCCGACAGTGCAATTCAACAGATTTAATGCCCCTTGCAGGTTAATAAACCTTTTTTTCTTAAAATGCAAAACTGTATTTGTCCGAAGAAGTTTATTTTCATGGCTGTTGCTAAATTGAAAAGCAAGTTACCCAAATTTGTAGTATTTTAAAATGAAAGATACAGTGATTTTTGAGGTGCTTAGAACATAGTCTTTGCTTATACGTAGATAGAATTATGCTTCATTTTAATAATAGAAATATTTTTGTATTTTTTTTAATATACAACCCATCAGGTCGTCTGCATCAACAACATAAACTTCCAGAGAAAATCTGTTGTGGTAAGTACATTGTCAACAATTGTAAGCAGTAACAAATCCACCAGAGCACACACTGGCTTAACTTGGCTGCTAAGAGGCCAGTTTTGGGTTTTTTTTTTTTTTTTTTAAATACATTTTATTGATTTCAGAGAGGGAGAGAGAGAAACATCCATAAGAGTATCATTGATCGGCTGCCTCCTGCACGCCCCCTACTGGGGGATTGAGCATGTGCCCTTGACGGAATCAAACCCGGGACCTTCCAGTCCCCAGTCCAATGCTCTACTCACTGAACAAAACCAGCCAGGGCCCAGTTTTGTTTTTTTGTTTTTTGGCTGACGTGGTTTATGTGACATCGGGGGCTAATGAAATTTTAGATAAGGTGTTTGAAATCTAGTCCCCCCCCCCCCCCCCATTTAGATGTATAGATTTCGAATATGTTTCCATTCTAGGAAAGTCCTTGACAACCCAAGAACTTAATTTACTCTCTCAGGGGAACCTGTATTAAATAGACCAAAAATGTAGTGAGAGTTGGTTTTCTTTGAGGTATGGCATGAACTTTCCTCTCCAACTTACTTGAGGTGAGCTGTATAGATTTTTAAAATGTCGTATTTTACTAAGAATCATAGAATCTTGGATTTATAAGAATCCTTAAAGATTCATTAGGTCCAATTTTCTCATTTAAGGAATTTCTTTTTCAATATTCCTTGCATATGATTATTTACCTTATACCTTATGGAAGGATACTTTAGATGTGTTGTGTTGTATGAATTGGGCAGGGAAGATACAAGAATTAGGGAGTCTAGTTAAGAGGTTCCTGTACTAATCTAGGTTGTGGAAAGAAAACTGGGTAAAAAAATGTGGAACTTAATTGCTACAGTCTTGCTTTCTCTCATTGGTGTCAAGGCGAAAGTTGATATACACAGTTTCCTTATTCCTCCACCCTTTGCTTTTGCTAGCATTTCTTTTGGTCTGATCTAGACGTTCATTCCTATAGGATCTGCATCCTTGCTTGTTCTGTGTTTGAGCTGTTGCAGTTTTCCATTGACTAGGATGGTCAAGTGAGAGCTTAGAAGCAATCTGGTGAATGCCCTGGATTCCACATGTAATTTTTGTCCTATTGTATAGCACAGTGATGGCGAACCTTTTGAGCTCGGCGTGTCAGCATTTTGAAAAACCCTAACTTAACTCTGGTGCTGTGTCACATATAGAAATTTTTTGATATTTGCAACCATAGTAAAACAAAGACTTATATTTTTGATATTTATTTTATATATTTAAATGCCATTTAACAAAGAAAAATCAACCAAAAAAATGAGTTTGTGTGTCACCTCTGACACGGGTGTCATAGGTTCGCCATCACTGGTATAGCAGAACCTCAATTCCTGTTTGATCATTGGGATTAGTCATTCCAGCCAGTACAGTGACCGCTTTCTCTGCCTCTTGGTTCAGTGGTATAAGGAGCCTGAAGTGGTCAAGGGACAGTCTCAGCTTCCAGTTTAATGGGAACCATGACTGTGTGCCCTGGTGGTTGCATTTCTCCCTTGACCACTAGGACCTCTGAACACATTGAACCCAAGGTCACAAGGACAGGAAGCAAAAACCCTTTCAGTGGCCTTTTTGGTGCAATAGTGAAAATAGTCACTCTCACTTTACCCCTTGGTTCCCAGCTCTGTTTGAGCTGTGGAGAAGTGACCCTGTATATTGTCCACTAGCTTAAGAGAGCATCCTGTTGGAGGCCTTTTAATTGTTGCTATAACTGAGTCTTTAGTAATTGATCATGCCAGCTGCTTCTGAATGGTAGGGCATAGCACAAAACCAATACATTTTGTGTGTTTTAAGAGTCCATTGCCACACTTCCCTATACATTTGATTGGAAGTATGTACGGGTTATTGAAACACAGGTTTAAACTGTGTGGGTCCACTCATGTAGGTTTCTGTGTATAAGTGGACTGGCATGTTGTTCAGGGGTCAACTGTATTTTTCATCTGCAGCTGGAAATCTGCAGATGCAGAGGGCTGACTTAAGTGATACATGGATTTTTGACTGTGGATGGTTGGTGCCCCTAACCCCTGAGTTGTTTAAGGGTCAATTGTATATTGTAGTTAGGGAAGGAAAATCTAGAATACGTGTCTGTTCTTGTAAGGACAAATCACTGTCCCCCATGTATGATACGTACTCTCTAATGTTATTTTTCTACCAAGTGACTGGTCCTTTCTAGGAAAGTCCCATATTAGAAGCTTAATGTCATCTTCTGCTACTGGGAGGTGGCACTCAGCAGTGCCTTGGTGGGAGGAAGACCATGTCATTAGACTCATGCACAGCCTCCATTCTTGCCACCATGACCGCTTTGTATAGTGAGCAAGGTGGGCAGGGAAAGTGTCTGTGACATCTACTGGATAGATGATCTTGCCAGTTGATTTTTGAGGGCTCC